TGAGATGATATCACAAATATGAGATACTAAATCATAATTATGGGAAACTTTATTAAAATTATGACTTTAAAAAATGTCTTTTTTTTTCAGCGACAGAAATGAGCTTCCATATCGCTGAGTGAGTAAAGCTAGTGATGGAAGATTTTGAATAAATACACCCTTAATCAATAAGTAAATAGATTAGACATGTAATCAATAATCAGATAGCTAAGCATTGGCTAAAAGGGAATATGAATTTCTCACTAAGAGGTAATATAGGAAGCATTAGGCCATAGTCTGCCCATTCGGGGGCTTTCCAAAAGCAGATGGACTTAGATGACCTTACTTGCAGGTGCACTCTCAGTGAACCCATATGAGCCCATATGATATATGGTTCAGTATGGCCATGTAAGATGAGATATACTGGTACAAACGGGCTGAATCCAGCTTTTTAAAAAAAAGAACTGTTGTCCACAGTGAACTTAAGAGAGGCCAAGTGAGGGGGAAGTTTTTGAATGGGGACTAATTGAACATCAAGTTTGAGGTGACATCATAACACCCCAGATAATTAAGCAATAGAACCCGAGAGGGAGTGTGTTATCGCGAAATAACATCACGGCTGTGATTTTCACAGCCGGCAAGCTTTTCAGTCGGCAGCTGTGACAGAAATAAACCAATACCATTCGCCAAACGTGTAGTCTGATCTTCAGAGTCTGACCAAATCAGACTGAGCCATAAAACTGCCGCAATATCAAGTTTAGCTCAGTGTTGTCAGTTTTTGCCAGATCAGTATTAATGTTGTTTTGTTCCAGCCAGTCTGTAAAGCATCTTATAGCCCATTTAGTTTGGCGAATGGTGTTGGGTTCATTTCTGGCTGATTCCAGGTTGTTCAGCTGTTCTTCTGTCACAGCTGCCGACTGAAAAGCTGCTCAGTGGTGATGACAGTTTGGGAATTTAGTGTCGTCTCATCTTCAGAGTCTGACCAAATCGGCTGTCGGTCAAACGTGATCTTAAAAGTGTCCGTTTTCTGTTTGTGGCAAAGTAAGAAGTAAAAACGTTCAAATGTCTTGAGCGTCTCCTACAGCTGTCAAAGTCGTTGCTTAGCAACAGCTTGTCAGCGGAGTGATACAGTGTTTGTGAAAAACTGTGATGTTATGGTGAAATAAAAGCACAGTTAGAATGCTGCTCAACCAATCAGCTCGCATGGCCGGAACTAACTGTTGTATCAGGATACATAAGGCGCTGTCAGAACACTTTATTTGTGCAGATGGTCTCCGGAGACCTGCGTGCCACTGATGCTGAGATGAAGAAGCCTTTTTCTCTTTCCACAAACTCAGCGTCTGAAGACTCTTAAGAACTTAGACTTAAAATGGTTATTAGTGTTTAGTCAGAATTGCAAGATTTCTTTTGAATAATATTATGTTGGAGGCCTGGGGTTGAAGGGGATAACCTTTGGTCCCAACACTAGGACTTTATCTGTAAAACCACATTTGAAATATTGTTCACAATATTCACAATCCATTCGATAGGCTACCTCCTCTGGCTTTATGTGATTAAAATGATCGAACATTTAAATTCATGATTTTGACTTAGTGTTTCATAAATATAATTTACTTTCTTTTAATTATGACTTAGTATCTCATAATTCTAAATTATTGTTTCATAATTAAGATTTAGCTTTTCATAATTATGACTTAGTATCTTATAATCATGACTTACTTTCTTATGATTATGACTTAATAACTCAATTATTACTTAGTATCTTATATTTATAACTTATTTTTTTCATAATGATTTAGAGTTTCATAATAATGACATGATATCTCATAATTACAACTTAGTATCTCATTATTACGACTTAATGTCTCATAATTATAACATAATGTCTCAAGTATAACTTAATGTCTTATGATTATGACTTAATAACTCATTGTAACTTGTTTTATGATTTAGAGTTTCATAATTATGACTCGATATCTCATAATTACAACTTAGTGTCTCATTGTTATGACTTAATGTCTCATAATTATAACTTAATATCTTATGATTATGACTTAAATAACTCATGATTATGACTTAATATCTCATAATTGTAACTTATTTTTATGATTTAGAGTTTCATAATTATGACGTGATATCTCATAATTACAACTTAGTATCTCATTATTATGACTTATTGTCTCATAATTAGAACTTATTTACTTATGATTATGACTTAATAACTCAATTATGACTTGATATGTCATGATTACAACTTAGTATCTCATTATTACGACTTAATGTCTCAATCATAACTTACTTTGTTACATAATAAGAAAGTTACAATTATGAGATCATTAATATAAGTTACTTAGTATGTCATCTCATAAGAACATTTTATTATTATGAGGTGTTAGGTAATAATTATGAGCTGTTCAGTAATAATGATAAGAAACGGCCTTATTGTTATTGTTATTGTTATTATTTATGTCGTTTCCCTATCGGATGTCTCTGAGGACTGTGATTTACAGTCAGGCGTCGTGAGGACAGCCGCGCGGTCCTGACTGTGGGCTAGATGTACGCAGTCGGAGGAGCGAGGTGGGCTAGCGGAGTCGGTGTCGCCGTGTTTGTGAGAGAGAAGCGGGTCTGAATCTGGAGAATGACAGGTCTGCTGTTCCTCTCTGACTCTACCGTGTGGGTGGTTTTGTCCTGCCGGGCTTTTAGACCAGCTGTCTGCCTTATTAGCTGCTCCCGTCGCAGCAGTTTAACGTTAGCTAGGTTAGCTGTGAGCTAAGCTAAGTTAGCCGTGTGGCTAACCGAGTGTTTTTCCGATGACTGTCCAGAACTGCAGCGACCAGCTGAGGCCAGCGCCGATCTCATCTGACGAGCACGGTCAGAGTTTAATCTCGAAGCCCTGTCTGGATTCTTCAGCTCTGGGATCTGTTAAGGCTGCTAACATCAGCTCGTCTTTTCCGAATTGTCCGATCCACCTTAAATGGCGCGCTGGTGCTATACTGACTCCGGAGGCGCCGTCTCAGCGCTGCGCTGTTTAAGGTGGAACGGAAATTCGACAGTGAAGCTAACTTCACCTGACGAAACTGGCGAAGTCGGGCCTTTGAGTCGTGTTTGCTCGGATCTGTGTTGGTATTTCGAGATGTGTTTGGTCGATTATACGTTTTTCGACCAAAACCAAGCTCAGTTTCTCAGTCAGCTGATTAAAAAAACGAGGTTACGCGTTTGTTTAGTTAGCCTTACTGCGAGGCCAAGGGCTAAAAATAACTTGACACTCTGCACAAACTTAAAATACGCAGTGTGTCTGCTGCTGTACAGCTGCTCCGGCTGTCAGATCATCACCAGGGAAATAAATAACTACACTTGCACGTACACCATAACATTAACACCACCTCCTTGTATCTGCACTCCTTATCCATTTTATCAGCTCCACTTACTATATAGGTGCACTTTGTAGTTCTACAGTTACAGACTGTAGTCCATCTGTTTCTCTGATACTTTGTTACCCTGTTCTTCAGTGGTCAGGACCCCCATGGACCCTCACAGAGCAGGTACTATTTGGGTGGTGGATCATTCTCAGCACTGCAGTAACACTGACATGGTTGGGGTGTGTTAGTGTGTGTTGCACTGGTACGAGTGGATCAGACACAGCAGTGCTGCTGGAGTTTTTAAACACCTCAGTGTCCACTCTATTAGACACTCCTACCTTTTCAGTCCACCAAGTCAGAGACGATAGCACATCTGCTGCTGCACAGTTTGTGTTGGTCATCCTCTAGTCCTTCATTGGTGGTCACAGGACGCTGTCGGCTGGATATTTTTGGTTGGTGGACTGTTCTCAGTCCAGCAGCGACACTGAGGTGTTTAAAAACTCCAGCAGCACTGCTGTGTCTGATCCACTCAGACCAGCACAACACACACTAACACACCACCACCACGTCAGTGTTACTGCAGTGCTGAGAATGATCCACCACCCAAATAGTACCTGCTCTGTGAGGGTCCATGGGGGTCCTGACCACTGAAGAACAGGGTAAAAGGGGGCTAACAAAGTATCAGAGAAACAGATGGACTACAGTCTGTAACTGTAGAACTACAAAGTGCACCTATATAGTAAGTGGAGCTGATAAAATGGACAATGAGTGTAGAAACAGACACAGCAGTGCTGCTGGAGTTTTTAAACACTGTGTCCACTCACTGTCCACTCTATTAGACACTCCTACCTTGTTAGTCCACCAAGTCAGAGATGATAGCTCAACTGCTGCTGCACAGTTTGTGTTGGTCATTCTCTAGTCCTTCATCAGTGGTCACTAGGGCTGAACGATTTAAGAAAAATATCTAATTGTGATTTTTTTTTTTCTGATCAAATTTTGACTGATTTAAATTGTGATTATTTTCTGTAAACTGAAGTCCAGTCCTGTTTTTTTGGCCAAGAAACCACAACATCCACTTTTTCTGGTTTAGGCTAAAACACTGAATATGCCAGACTGCCAGTTAGTTGTGGTTGTGATGTCACAGCATATGGGTGTTTGGTTGCTTCTGATTGGTCTAACTCATCTACATGCAGTTCAAAAGCGCTGATGTAAAGTTAATGTTCGTAACTAAGGCAGTGCTGTTGATAATGTAGGTTATAATTAAAATTGCAGCTCTTGTGATTTGAAAATTGAACTCTTTCAAATTGCGATTTTCATATAAAAATGATTGTAAAAGTGATTTATCTTTCAGCCCTAGTGGTCACAGGATGCTGATGGCTGGTTGTTTTTGGTTCGCAGTCCTGCAGCGACACTGAGGTGTTTAAAAACTCCAGCAGCACTGCTGTGTCTGATCCACTCGCACCAGCACAACACACCCTGTCAGTGTCACTGCAGTGCTCCACCACTTGACTTTAAAATTTAGTATGTCCAAACAAATCATACAAAGCTATTTGGTCCGAAATCTCAAAGCGTTACTAAACGAGTGTTATCTAATAGCCAACAAAAAGTTCTTCTCTCCTTTCTTCTCCCACTCTAACATGTCTTCTCTCCTTCTCTTCAAGGTCTGACTTGATATTTGGACGCCCTGTCTGATCCCACAGAGCTCCACCAGCGCTTGGTGTCTCACCATCCCGTCGTTTTGGATATCTGATCCGATACCTGGCAACCTCCATCCCCTGCAGAGACAATGTACTGCCTCCAGTGGTTACTTCCGGTCCTCCTGATCCCCAAACCGTTGAACCCAGCCCTGTGGTTCAACCACTCGATGTTCATGGGCTTCTACTTGCTCAGCTTCCTTCTGGAGAGGAAGCCGTGTACCATTTGTGCCTTAGTGTTCCTGGCGGCGCTGTTTCTCATCTGCTACAGCTGCTGGGGGAACTGCTTTCTGTACCACTGCCATGATTCTCCACTGCCAGACTCAGCACACGACCCCAACATTGTGGGCACCTAGACTCAGTTGCCAGATCCTCCAAAAAAAAAAAAACCCTACCTGATGATTCTCACGCATACCCTGGACAATCTCTGTCTAGACTGTGAATAAGCAAAAATCCCACCAGAAATGGTGGGAAAACGTACCCAGCTGCAGTCCTGCTATAATTTATCACAAATTGCCCTTTCACTCTGACCTTATTCTCCATTCTGCGGGTCAAAGGTGTCCTCACTTCGGGTTATGGGATCTGAAACTTGCATGGGTTGCTTCTAGGGTTGCTCTCTGTTGTGTTCATCCTGCACAACCTTAATTTTAATTTTCTGGATGCTGAAAGATTCCAAAGGGTAGATGATAATGTGTGAGCGTCTGTACGAGTTTGTATCGATGGAACTCCTGTTTCTGTTCATGTGTTGACGATCAGTATGATTCTAGAGCTCTGAGGTGTTTTCGTTGATGGTGAATGTCCACATTGAGCGCACTGGAGGTCGAGTGGGTGTGAGTTACCTGGCTCAATTTGTTCCAATGCTGTTGCAACTTTTAATTCAATAAAGTTCACACTGAGCAAAATCACGTTACACAGTAAAATCAAGTTCTGACTCAGCCTGACTCAATAGCCCCAGTGTTGACGCAAGGAGTGGCTACTTCTACTGAAATCTACGTCTGTTTCTACAGTAGTTGTGTCAGTGCTAATAGCACGAGATGACCAGATCTTTTTTTAAACCACCTCAATGATTTTGAATATGGTTGCCAGATTGGATGTTTTACGTGATCTCCATTTTTACATGTATTCACTGAAATTTTGGGTTAAAATCAAAGGTGAATTCCACTGATTTTTCATATATAAACAGTCATTCAGAGTGGTTTGGTGTGAAATACTCGCTTCACAGAAAGTTATTACATGAAATGGTTATGAATGACGTCGGAGAAATTGTTTTATGATAGTTTTGAGGTTATTTTGGCCTAAAACATATGTTTAAAATCCATTCATGGTGGAGGGATACATGCAAGATGTGAGGCAAAATAGTCCCCAAAGAAAACCTTTCAGATTTTCACTAGTCATTAACATTGCATATAAACTCAGAAGACGTGTGTAGGTTCATTGGTGGTTTTGGATAGTAAATAAAATGCCCATATGTGTTTTAAAAACTTGAAAAAGATGATTCTTCAAGGGTTCTATAGTTAAGAAAAAGGTTCAGTATAGAACCGTGAACTCTCAGAAAACCCTTTGCATGATTAAATGATTCTTGGCATCATTGAAGCATTCAGATCGATGGACAAATGTGCTGTAGATGGTTCTTTAGGGAAATGGTTCTATATAGCACCCCAAAGGGTTCTACTGTTGTTACGGTGTCAAGCTCGTAACAATAGAAGAACACTTTTAAAAAAGGTTTCATATAGAACCGTCTATATCATGCACATTCTCCGTCAATCCGAAGAACTTTTATGATGCAAAGGGTTCTTTGAGTGTTCATTTTCTTTACTAAAAATCCTTGAAGAATCATCTTTTTAAAGAGTGTACTCAGGGCAACCCCTGGTTCCTATCACCACCACTGTAAAGAAATCTGAGCCATTTCACACCAAACCACTCTGAATGACTCTGTTTACATCTCACACACTGAATTGTACACAAATTTGAGAAATGAGTGGAGTTCCCCTTTGGGTGATCTGAACAGACCATGTAAAATTCTTTCACTGCACCTTATACTGATCCATATGTTGCTTTGCTTCTGCTTTTTAAAGAAACAGATTTGAAAATCAATGAATGTATGTTTTTTGTGTGTAACTTCTTGTTTTTGCTGTCTAAAGAAATTAGACGGGTTTCGTGTAGCGTTGACCTCTTATGGGTTTTTTTTCTGTTTTCAATTAAACACGTCATCTGTGGGCCACATTTAAATGCCTGTAAGCTTTAGGGTGCTTTTCAAGGCAAATCCAGACACTTAGGCAACGTCTTAATCTTGATAAAGCATTTAAACTTGCGCAATAATTCCAGACTGTGCTATTATTTAAAAGGGTAATTCCACTGATCTTCTCAAAATTTAGTTAGGATGGAAAAACAGTCGTTCAGAGTGGTTTGGTGTGAAACGCTCCAAACTTACCGAGTCAGAACTGTTCACAGTGGTGGTGATAGGAACCAGACGTCCACCTCTGAAAGCTCCCTCACAGAAAGTTCCTACATGAAATGGTTATGAATTCACTGCCTGATCATATTGTTTTACGATAGTTTTTCAGAAGATTTTGGTCTTAGGTTTATTTTTGAAATCCATTTATAATTAAGGGACATATGCAAGGTATTGTGAGGCCAAATAGTCCCCAAAACAACTAATTTTTCAAAATTTATCACTATTTTACCATCATCAACATTCCATATAAACTCAGAAGACTCGTGTAGGTTCACTGGTGGTTCTGGATAGTAAATAAAATGTCTATATTTGTGTTGTAGTCATGGCGACCCCTGGTTTCTATCACCACCACTGTAAAGACATCTGAACCATTTCACACCAAACCACTCTGAATCTCTGTTTACATATCAGCGATTGAGTTATGCAGAAATTGTGAAAGATTAGTGGAATTTCCCTTTAATATGCAACCCTTGTGATAAGTGTAGCCCTGTGGGTAGCACTCACATAAACACAGGTTAAAGGTTGTGTTTACTATAGTATAAGCTTTCAGTCTTCACACGTTCATCACATGTTCTTGTGCTTGCTCCAGCCCTCTCAACTCGGGACAGAACAAATATGTTGCGCTGTCACAACACTGTTATACACTATCTATGCAAAAATATCCAGACGGTACTTCTATTGAGTGAATTCAGCTACTTTAAGGTCTTAAAGCAGCTTGTCTAATCTCATAGAAAAGCACTGACCAGTAGAATGGTCCTAAGGTCACCATGTCCAATGCCAAGCGTGGGCTAGAGGGGTATAAAGCCCCCCAGCATTGGGCTGTGGAGAAGTGGAACTGTGTTCTCTGGAGTGATGGAGCTCCATCCAATACCTTTGGGATGATTATTGATCCAGAACTGACCATCCAACATCAGTACCTGACCTCACTAATGCTCAATCAAATCCTCACAGCAATGTTCAACACCTAGAAGCCTTTCCAGAAGAGTAGAGGCTGTTACTGCAGCAGTCTCTATTAATTAGTCCTGAGTCTGGGAAACTGGCCCAGTGTCTGTGTGAATAACTCCTCTCACATGAATACAGGTTAAAGGCCGTGTTTGCCACAATATCAGTTTTCAGCCTTTCACACATTCCTCTCCATGTTAGACTCTCCACACTGCAAAAAATAGTGTCTTGTGAAGTAAAATGATCTTAAATCTGGGCAACAAATCTAATATTTCCCCTGTTGAGATTGTTGTAAGCTTATTTTAAGATTATTTACCTTATTTCTGAACATTATTTACTTGTTTTAAGTGAGTTTATTAAATTTATCTCACCATACTGGTAGATAATTTTGCTTGTTTTAAGAAATGTGCTTAAAACCAGCAAGATTATCTACCAATATAGTGAGATAAATTGATAAAATGACCTAAAACAAGTAAAAATGTCTAGAAATAATATAGATCATCTAATAATAAGTGCACAACCATCTCAAAATGAGAAGTATTAGATATATTGACTAAATTTAGGATCATTTCACCTGACAAGATTTTTTACAGTGCAGTTGTTCATGATGGTCGGCTCCAGAACCCTTAAGTGGCCCATAAAGTACCTTTTTTTTGCATTTTTATTTTTCCTGCGTTGAGGTCCACTTATAACGTTTGTGTGGTTTTATGTACCAAAAACATTTTTACATGCCCATTTTCCAGCCTCACTTCATCCCACGCTTTTTTGTTACTGTGCCTTTAAGTCTGACATATGTAAATGAGCTCTCTTCTGATTGGCAGCCCTGCATTGTGCCTCTTTCAAAAAGCAGTCCAGGCTCAAACATCCTCAGTCAGCTTGAGTGGGTGGGGCTAAACTGCTGTAGCCTGAATAGGTGGATATACACCGATCGGGCATAACATTCTGACCAGCTCCTTGTTTCTACGCTCATTGTCCATTTTATCAGCTCCACTTACTATATAGGTGCACTTTGTAGTTCTACAGTTACAGACTGTAGTCCATCTGTTTCTCTGATACTTTGTTAGCCCCCTTTTACCCTGTTCTTCAGTGGTCAGGACCCCCATGGACCCTCACAGAGCAGGTACTATTTGGGTGGTGGATCATTCTCAGCACTGCAGTAACACTGACGTGGTGGTGGTGTGTTAGTGTGTGTTGCGCTGGTCTGAGTGGATCAGACACAGCAGTGCTGCTGGAGTTTTTAAACACCTCAGTGTCACTGCTGGACTGAGAATAGTCCACCAACCAAAAATATCAAGCCAACAGCGTCCTGTGGGCAGCGTCCTGTGACCACTGATGAAGGACTAGAGGATGACCAACACAAACTGTGCAGCAGCAGATGAGCTATCGTCTCTGACTTTACATCTACAAGGTGGACTGACAAGGTAGGAGTGTCTAATAGAGTGGACAGTGAGTGGACACAGTGTTTAAAAACTCCAGCAGCACTGCTGTGTCTGATCCACTCGTACCAGCACAACGCACACTAACACACCACCACCACTTCAGTGTTACTGCAGTGCTGAGAATGACCCACCACCCAAATAGTACCTGCTCTGTGAGGGTCCATGGGGGTCCTGACCACTGAAGAACAGGGTAAAAGGGGGCTAACAAAGTATCAGAGAAACAGATGGACTACAGTCTGTAACTGTAGAACTACAAAGTGCACCTATATAGTAAGTGGAGCTGATAAAATGGACAATGAGTGTAGAAACAAGGAGGTGGTCAGAATGTTGTGCCTGATCGGTGTGTGTTTATCTCCAATTGTATTAGGAAAAATAACCTATCATTGTCATAGAAGGCCCTTTACTGCAAAGCAACTTTTAACACATTGCACACAGGGATTCTCCTTTTTTTGGCACATTATTTACATTTATTGGCAATATATTCCATGTTTACACTTTGTTTTTTTTTGTATAGATGAAATATAGAATACAATTTTTATAAATATTACACTCCAAAAGGGTTTTATACAAAAACATTGAGTTTCATACTGCATAGGATGTGACCAGACTGCCACAAGCACTGTCCTCCTGTATGACCTCTGATAAGCATCATAGGCTGTTCTGCGCAACTGAACTGTTGAAATTTCTGCATCTAAGTGAAATCTTTAGTGGAGCTTTATGCCTCTTCCATTCTTCTCATTAGAAATTCATGACTGGCCCAGGCCTATCTTCTGATTAGGGGTTAAAAACCTAGCTGAGGTCTCTAGAAGATGGTGATTTCTGTGTCCAGGTTCTTGTAAATCTCCTCCTGTAACTCACTGCAGATCCGGTCCATTCGCTGGAAGGCTGCGTGTCCTTTTTTACCTGTGGGAAAGGAGACAGTACAGACGCGGTTAAAAGCCACAACTCAGACTACGACACCGAGATGTTCACAAGCCGATTCATGCGAGTCCAAGTCGAGTCTCGGAGCTTCAGCAGGCCTGGATCAAATTGGTTTTATAGGCGTGCACCCAGGTGACCGAGCCACTGGTCTAGCTGCCAGTGTGGGTTGCCAGGTGTTAAGTTTTGAACCCTTGGGTCTAACTATAACATACTCAATAGCACATCAAATTAGTACTGTTACTACTCTGAACATGCCGTTTAGTACAGTAGCATTAGTGGATTGAGAAAGTTTTGGCATGTTTTGGGATAAAACCAAAATAAAACCATTATTTCTTAATCACAGCTACTTTCAAATAGTAATTAAATATGTAAAATTATGTTTTAAGGAACAGTTGGCCTACTGAAGGCTACCACAGTGTCTCGGTCTCCTCTGTCCCTGACTTCCCGTGTGACTCAATTCAGGGGCTGCGTCCTTCGGAGGCTGCATTTGGAGGTCGATTGAGTCACAGCGGCGGGACTAGACTGTCTCATTTCGAAGCCTCCTTCATACGCGGCCGAGAAATGTGTCCTCCTTTTCCATGGCAATGAAGGATCCAATGGGTGGATCCTTCGCCAGCTAACATACCCCAAGGTTCATCGTGTGTCGGCGAGGATTCGAGAACGTGGGCATCAATAGAGGAGTGAACGGTGGCTGAAGAGTTCACTCTTAAATATAAGTTAAATATAAGTATTGGGTTTAAACTGAGGCGAATGGCTAACGATACAAATGAAAAACAAAAAACAAACAAACAAACAAACTCATCAGTAGCTGACTGTAAAGCATCTCCAGCTCTAATAAATGAAAAAAAAAAACAAAAAAAACTAAAATTAAAGTTTTTTTCCATCTTTAAAGAACTTTAAAAGAACTGGACAGGAACAGCGTTTCGTGGCGCAGCGGTGAGGGCGGGAACAGTGGTGAGGGCGGGAACAGCGGTGAGGGCGGGAACAGCGGTGCTGTGACGCAAACAGAAAATCCACCGTAGGACAGACTGTCTCGGTTCAGCCTTCGTGGATCTAAGCAGCCTTCGAAGGACACGCCTTCATAGACCACGCCTTTCAAAGGACGCAGCCCCTGAATTGGGACACACTGTTCATCTGTTTTCTTGCCCTGTGCTGTAGCCTATGCTCTGTAGCCATGTGCTAAAGATGGTTCATGTGCTCCGCCCTTTCCCTGCCTTCCCTATTAGTATCCTCACCTGTCTGTAGTCTGTGTGTAGTGAGCAAGGAGGCTGGATGTACTTGCGAGCACACTTTAATGAACGAAACAGACTCGTAGACACATAAAACACAAAATAACAAACTACTACGCTTAACAAAGAAACACTGAGCAAACCAAACATCAGGCAGTCACACAGCAACCACACATAACAAAGTGATGAATAGACCAGACCAACACTGACTGAAACAAAGGGCTTCATAAAGGCTAGAACAAACGGGGAACACCTGGGAGAGGGAGGAGTCAGACTACAGACAGGTGAGGATACTAATAGGGAAGGCGGAGGAAAGGGCGGAGCACAAGGCTAAAAGAGCACATGGCTACAACACAGGGCAAGAAACAGATGAAGGCAGGGACAGAGGAGACTGTGGCACACAGGTTGTTGTGCTTTTCGCTGTTGTCGGAACAAAACCTCGTATCTCCAAAATGGCAACTTTACAGGAGAAGGAAAAAACCTACTTTACTTTTAATGTAAGTCAATGGAACCAGACATCTTTCCAAGTCATTTTGAGCCATTTCTTTTGGTCCATTCATCATGAAATTTACACACAATGTAAAGAGCAACAGGCATTTTCAGAATATGTAAAAAATTAAAAAACGGAGAATACAAGGTTTTCTTCCGACAACAGTGTTTTGTTTGTTTTACATGATACCAGAACAAACAGTGGACTGGAAAATGTATTTGAATTATACAGTTCATTATAGAAAAACTAATCATAAACTATGAACAACAGTGTAAAACAAACCAAACAATTACTGAACAGTTTAAATAGAGGACACTTTGTATGCCTTGCTTGACTTCACCGCAATAAACTCAATAAACGCAGCACATTTAAGGTGGAATGGCAAAATTTGAATAAGGAGCCAATGTCAGCCTGTGCTGTCTGAAGTATTTTGGGTGCATATCGTCACTGTCTAATGAAAAACATCTCCATTTTTTCGCGATTTTTGCTTTTCTGCATAATTTGAGCTCAACAGCCGTCCGTTACATTGTGTGATGATTGGACCAACAGAAATGCCCCAAAATTGCTTAGAATAAAATCGTATTTTCTTTAACTTACATTGACAGTAAAGAGCGTTTTTGCCCTCTCCTGTAAAGTTACTATTTTGGAGATGCTTGTTTTTCTTAGGACAGCGACGACATGTGGCACCAGGTTCAAAGGTTGACTGAAAGGTGTCCATGGTTACCAAATGAAAGCACGGTCTCTCTGGCAGCGTTCCTCAAATCTTCGTCCGCGGAGCGCCACAGCTCAGCAACCTGCTCCACGCTCTCCGTCGCCTAGGAGACAGATTACACCCCTTAATCTCAGCTCATCCACCCCGTATCAGCCCTAATCTGGGGTAATCTATAGATAATCCAGATGTGAAGAGACTGAGCCATCTGGTGCTCATTCCTTGTAGATGATTCATCTATATTACACAGAATAAGTTAACCACACACTAGAAGTCTTGGTTAAAGGCTAAATCTGTAGCATCAACTTGATCCTCACATGACATATACAATCACTCTGTAGTTCTACAGTTACAGACTGTAGTCCATCTGTTTCTCTGATACTTTGTTAGCCCCCTTTTACCCTGTTCTTCAGTGGTCAGGACCCCCATGGACCCTCACAGAGCAGAGATTTGGGTGGTGGGTCATTCTCAGCACTGCAGTAACACTGATGTGGTTGTGGTGTGTTAGTGTGTGTTGCGCTGGTGCGAGTGGATCAGTTTTTAAACACTGTGTCCACTCACTGTCCACTCTATTAGACACTCCTACCTTGTCAGTCCAACTTCTAGATGTAAGGTCAGAGACGATACCTCAACTGCTGCTGCACAGTTTGTGTTGGTCATCCTCTAGTCCTTCATCAGTGGTCACAGGACGCTGCCCACAGGACGCCGTTGGCTGGATATTTTTGGTTGGTGGACGATTCTCAGTCCAGCAGTGACACTGAGATGTTTAAAAACTCCAGCAGCACTGCTGTGTCTGATCCACTCGTACCAGCACAACACACACTAACACACCACCACCATGTCAGCTTTGTAAGTTACCTTATAACTGGGATTACTTTGATGGCCAGAAGCAGAAAATGATCAACCAGCTTCTAAGACTGAACTTTGGAGGTGTGTCTGCAGATTCTTTGAGAAACTGAAAGTGAGTCTCCTGAAAAGAATGGAAGCTGGAATAAAGGGAGAGAGTGACTCACTGAACACTCAGACAGCTGAGATTAGGTTTAGCTGTTGAGGCCTCTGTGTGTTTTCATGACACTGAAAAATAAATAATGGTGGATCTACCTGGAAATGAAATAAATGAAAGCGTGGTGTGACTTCGGCACAGTACTGTAGATCATTATACGGCAATATCTCCACAGGGAGTCACTAGCTGATGAAAAGGCGTCACAACTTTGTGAAAGCTGCTGAAGGGGGTGAGAGATTATGGACAAAGTTGCAATATTCGTTTTCTGTTATTAACACATTGTGACACCAAGCAACAGGAAACTATTTCCAACTGTAAATTATTCATAGCAAATCAACACTGGCTATAAATAAAATACCACACACAGACAGGACTGTGTTTGCTTGGAATACATGGAGATATAACAGGAAAAGTTACATCTGGAAAGGTTTCCAGTTTAATTATGTTGCACAATCTGTTGCAAAACCCATATAATACTAGTCTTAGGATAGCGACGACATGTGGCACCAGGTTCAAAGGTTGACTGAAAGGTGTCCATGGTTACCAAATGAAAGCACGGTCTCTCTGGCAGAGTTCCTCTAAAAGACGTCACTAATGTGCTTACATTGCTGTTCAAAAGTTTGGAATCACTGTTTATATTAACATAAAACTATTTTTTTTTTTAGATAAATATAAAATGATTGTAATTTGATTGTAATGATTGTAACAGGTTTCAGAAACTCAGTAGGACAGTAAATAAAAATGAAGAGATGTCAGATAAGTCCAGAATGATGAACAGAGCTGTAGAAGATTGTATAAGGACTGAAAAAGCTGAAGCTGAACATCAAAAATGAAGTTCTAATAAAATTAACATCCAGATTTCAAAGAAGAGAACTAACCTTGAGGCAGAAAACAAACAAAAGTAAGTAAATAATTACAGTATATTTTTGTTATTTAATAACTTCATGTTCACAGAATTTGAATACTGGATAAATCATCTAAAAATTGTCTGTAATGTTTAAATCTGCATCATATATGTTATTATTGTACATAAAATAATGAAAATTGTTGATATGGCAGGTGATTCAATTCATCATATCATCTACAAGGCTAAACTCTAGTTTTCCTGTAACCTTCCATCTGATTTTTGATGTCACCGTGCATCCAGTGGGCGGGGCAAAATATTAACCGATAATAACATTTCACCACCCCCCATCCCCCCACCTGTCTTTGCTCAGCTAGCTCAGAGATCCCCCTGATGAGTTTCATTCACAAATACGTCACGATACAGAAAGAAATGCTGCATAGTTTTCATTTATTATTAGCAATGTTAATATGAGGGATTAGGGAGAGTCATGAAAGTTTACAACACTCAATAGTAAATTCGGATTTTTGGTTATTTTTAAGAAAGTTATTTTCTCTCTAACGTTATATGTTATCATATTCAAGAACAATAATTATGTCTGTACTCCACCAGAGGGCAGTGTAGAGCCTGTGTCTTACGGTTTGGTCAGAGATTCTAATACGCTTACTCCAAAAAAGGAAACATAGAAAGACTACTGCAGCCGACTGAAGGCTACAAGAGCTGGTTTATGAGGAGTTTGACCACTTCCTATTTCCCCCATTATATCAAAAACAAGACTGCTAAACAGCAGAGGGCGCCCATGAGGGAGTCCTCAATGAATGGGAGTAAAGGAGCTAAACAGCTAAAAACTAAAAGTTGAAATAGTTTCTAATCACTCGCCACTTTCCTTTAATTTTAGAAAGTATAAGGATGTATTTCACTAAAAAAACGAAGAAAACTTACTTGTATATTTACGTTTTTCTACAGCAAACAGGTTTTGGGCAGCAGGACGCTAACATTAATGCTACTGAGTGCTGATTGGTTGGCGAGCGGAGCAGCTCATTGGCTGTTCGCGCTCACAGACGTCATGAACGTACATGAGGCGCCGTTTTAAACTCCTATAACTCGAGTTTAAAAGCTCTTAAAAATATAACAGCAGTGTTGAAATGTTTTATGCTGTTCTGGGTTGGAAATGAGATTTATCAACTATGATCTGCTCAAATGCTCCATATCAACCTGTTCATTTTGGACTCACTCGGGAGCGCCCTCTAGCGTCTGAGAAACCCGGAAGACGTTGCAGAGTGTAAAGTTCTCTGAGGCTCCCACACTTTTAACCATATTAGAACCTCTGACCAAAACATAAGCTGCAGACTCTACACTGCCCCCGGTGGAGCATAGAATTCAGGCATATTCACAGCTTTTACAGAGCTCAATAGAAATAAAATGTTCTACATCATGTAGTACATTTATCACATTTTGTATCAGCTAATTAACTCTTTACCAACTTGCTGTTTTCCAGTGAAAAGGTACTCAGTGAAATATGATATGAATTACAGGTAACAGATGATTAGCATGTGTCACTTTATCTTAAAGACTTTTCATTCATTTCATTTTCATATCTTAAATCTAGTCAATATACCTAATATTCCTCTTTTTGAGGTTGTTGTAAAGACTATTTAACTAATTTCAACACATTTTTTACTTAAATTTAAAGTGATTTTAGTCAGTTGAGTTATCTCACCTTGAATTATTTGGATTGTTTCAAGCATATTTCCTAAGCTATCTTGCAATATAATGAGATAATCTGACTTACTGAAGTCACCTAAAATAAGTAAAAACATCTACACATAAGTGAAAATCTTATATTAAGCTTTCAACAATCTTAACATGATGAATATTAGATATTTCAATTAGATTTAAGATTATTTGCCAAGATGCCGTTTTTTGTACGGTGGCCCCACTTTTTGGATGCTGCATGTCTTCCGCCTGAGGCATCCAGTAGCCTGTAGCATTAAAAGTCTGTTTTAAATGTATGTTTTGGGTGTGGGTGCTTTTCAAATGCCCATGACTAATTATGATATACATATTAGCAATTTTAAAAAGTTACCTTTAGACATTTCAGTGCCAAACACGCCTGCTGCTGCCGTTGGGTGTCGTTGTCTCTCAACAGCCATGTGTAGTGTACCAAAGCCTGTAAAGGTCAATACACCAGTGGTCAGTGTACTAAAGCCTGCAGAGGTCGAATTCAATGTCTGTTCATAGTGCAAATTCAAAATGCCAGTTAGACTATGCCAGGGGCCGGCTACATGGGGCTACATACTGCCCTCTTGCGTCTCCACAGCTGAATTAGATTAGTAGGTAAAAATAAAATAATCCTCCTTTACAGTAAAATAAAGCTCTGCTGATCGTTCAACACAGTTTAATAATAAATGGTCTTAAACTCTGGAGTTAATGTAGAACTGCTAATTCACCCTTTAACCCTGAAGATCAGCGAAGACTGCTGGTCACCATAGCAACACAGACAACAATCTCACCTAGCTAGTAGCTAACGAAACGGCAAAGAGAGAGATTTAAGACGGAACATCTATGATTTGCAGAAGAATGGACTTATCTGCATTTATAATCACTCCAGCTGGTTTCCTGATACGTTTAATCTGCAGCGAAAAACTGTCAAACACTAAAAAGTCTCGAAGCTGATTTCAACTTCTCATTCTCCAGCTTCTTGTTTGAATTTTCCCGTTCCACCTTAAATGGTGCCTGAGGTGCCAGAATGTGGCTGCTGCACCATTTAAGGTGGAACGGGAAAATTCGAACAAGAAGCTGGCGAATGAGAAGCGACTTCAGCCTCGTAAAACAGTCGAACGTTGAGAGACATTTTACAAAAAACTGTTCGACTTTTGCAGAAAGGTTTCCTGCTGGAGATGCGAGAAAAGAGGCTACAGCTGAGCTAAAGCTTAAAGCAGAGCAATGTAAGTCTGTGTTTTTGTTTATATTATATTTTTAGCCTAAACTAGTACATCAGCACATACTGAGACATATTTACAGCCAAGACGGTAGAATGGATATAAAATGTTGTGGCCCCCAAGGTTGTCTGATTTTTGTTGAAAGGACAAAATGGCTCTTCTTAACATTCGGGTTGCGACCCCTGGACTAGACTTCTATTTTGCAGCGAAATGATTAGGCTTCTTCTCTGAGCTGTGAGAAGTTGTGGTGGGCTGTTTATCCACTACCTTAGACCTGAAGGACCTGAAGCCTGAGGCTCGGCAGAGACAGGAGGTGGCGGTCGCTGCAACCTTGTGATTGGCGTCTGTCAGTAGCTTGGCCAGGAGCTGCAGGGTTCTCCCCATTGGCTGCAGCTCTGAGATCCTCCTCCCTTTCAGCTTCTTCAGAGCCCGCCTCCTCTTAGGGCTCTCCAGACAGGACACTAAGTAGACTGCAAGAGAAGCACACGTCAAAGAAAGGTGTTCTGACTTTAATTTCAGAAGTATTTTTAAGGGATATCTCTAACTGAAACCACTGCCTCTCGGCTTTAGTTGTAAATGTGTTATTTGACTCAATAGACTTTCAGTTCCTTTTTAAAGTGCAATGTATCAACATTATTATCTGTGGTAATAGATTTCACTATATGGATGCAGTACAGACTGTTTTTGATACATAAACCCAAACAATCATATGTGGACGAACATCTGCTGCAAAAAAATTATATCTTAGCAAGTAAGCACATCTTTAAGGTAGTCAGTATATCAGTGTATAAGATTGTTGTTAGGGTATTATATGATAATTTAACTCATTTTTAGACATTTTTACTTGTTTCTAAGTAATTTTATCTTATGAAAGTGTCTTTTTCCGTTGGCAGATCATTTCACTTTTTTTAAGCATCATTTCTTGAAATAAGCCAAATAATCTTAATCATTTCTAAAAGATGAAATGATCTGTCAAAGGAATAAGACACTTTCACTAGATAAAATTACTTAAAACAAGGCCCATTATTTACTTATTACAAGAAGTAGGCCTTAATTATAAGAAATAATTTATTACATCATTTTTTTTCCTAAGCCGCTTATCCTTCTGGGTCACGGGGGGAGCTGGAGCCTATCTGAGCAGTCGTTGGGCAGAAGGTATTATATGATGTTGTGTAATATTATTTATCATTATTTACAGTAATGATGAATAATAATATTGTTATCGTGAAATAACATCACGGCTGTGATTTGGTCTCTAACACACAACCTCTGTTGTTCTATTGCTTTAATACAACAGTTAAATAAATAAAGTAATAAATTAATAAACTGGGCCGTGAACGCGGCGTTTAATATGTTTTAATGTTCGCAGTTCCTTCACCAAATTATAGTTCCTTAACGAGCAGCTTGTTGCTACGTCAGAGTAACGAGCTCCGCCCACTCGCTGCACAGTCTGCTGTAAGCCTCGCCTTTTGAAGTACAGACTGAGCCATAAAACTGCCGCAATATCAAGTTCAGCTCAGTTTTGTCAGTTTTTGCCAGATCAGTATTAATGTTGTTTTGTTCCAGCCAGTCTGTAAAGCATCTTACAGCCCGTTTAGTTTGGTGAACGGCGTTGGGTTCATTTCTGGCTGATTCCAGGTTGTTTAGCTGTTCTTCTGTCTCAGCTGCCGACTGAAAAGCTGCTCAGTGGTGATGACAGTTTGGGAATTTAGCGTCGTCTCATCTTCAGAGTCTGACCAAATCGGCTGTCGGTCAAATGTGATCTTAAAAGTGTCCATTTTCTGTTTGTGGCAAAGTAAGAAGTAAAAACATTCAAATGTCTTGAGCGTCTCCTACAGCTGTCAAAGTCGTTGCTTAGCAACGGTGTCTCAGCGGAGTGATACAGTGTTTGTGAAAAAACCGTGATGTTATGGTGAAATAACAGCACAGTTAGAACGGTTCTCAACCAATCAGCTTGTGTGGGCAGAACTAACTGTTGTATAATATCTTAAATTACGTTTTCAAAAATCTCTATACTGTTTTCAGCCTTATATTAAGGGCTCTTCTGTGTTTTTCTGAAAAAGAGAACAGGCATATATTAAAAAAAAATCTACAGAAAATGAATTTTTACCTCCAGCACACGTTAATTTGAATGAGGAGCTGGTAACACTTATACTTATGGCTCCATAAGTGTATGTTTTTATGTCCACTGACGACACGCACTACTCACTGTAACCTCTATTTTGTTCATAAAAACAAAACTGCTTATAAAAAAAATTCCACTTATGCTGTTTTTGGTCTCCTGTTGTTCTGCTGTAATAATACTCAGAGTAATTCTCATCCCTGGACAACAAACTTTAGAGTGTCAGCTTTCAAAAGAGACCAAGACTACAGTTGTAGTTCAAAGTGTTCAAGAAAAACAACAACTTTAATAAACTGTGTCATTTCAGGGTTTGTTATTTTGTGTTTAATAAGAAACAGAGGTGCTGGACAAGAGTTAAACAAGCCACTGCCTAACACAGCTTGTATGATGCCTTTTCAAAAGCCTTCGAAAGTCAGCAAATGATTTGAGCCAGGAGTAACTCACTCGCAAAGCATTTAAGTTCAAATGTGCTATAAGCAGTGACAGGCGCTTGGAAGAGGCTGTATTTGTGCCACTTTAAATGATCGTGTTCTTCCGTAACGCCACAGTGAGGCACTGTGTAGACTTACCTTCTCTGGAGAGGTGAGAGATGTGCTCTCCGAAGTCCGTGAGCTTCCAGCGGCTGAGGTAGACCTGCAGCTGAAACATGCTCACTCGGTCTGTCAGACACAGCGCTAAAGGCACCATCCTGCAGCTGGACTGGACCTGCTGTAACAGCTGACCGAAGACTGTAGGAGGAAACAGAGACGTACTGTATTAGACTCAAAGAAACACCTCGAGAAAGAGAGAACACTGAAGAATTTCACATCAAAAGACCACTTATAAAAGTGCATTAACTAAACTGGTAACACTTTACTGTAGGGTACAGTTCACAGGGCTACATAATACCTACATAAGCTTGTCAAGACAACTGACATAGACCTACATAAATGTTTATAAATGCTTATTCCAGTAGGCGTCGTTCGCTATAAAAGTTACATTTGCCAATTTTGATCAGTTAGTTAAAGTAGCCTGTATGACAGATGACACCTATTGGAATAAGCATTTCTAAACAATTATGTAGGGTTATGTAAGTTGTCATGACAACTTTATATGGGTTTCATGTAGCCTTATGAACTGTATCCTACAGTAAAGTGTTACCACTAAAATTAGGACAAGACATAAATATACATGAGTTTAATTCCAAAACACTGTATATCTGTTTGTAACCATTTTGAACACAGTGAGTTTTTAAAAGAGTGACAATTAATGTTAATGGAAAAACACACCAGCCACTTCATTAAGTCCACCTCCGTGTTTCTACACTCACTGTCCATTTTATCAGCTCCACTGACCGTATAGGTGCACTTTGTAGTTCTACAGTTACAGACTGTAGTCCATCTGTTTCTCTGATACTTTGTTACCCTGTTCTTCAGTGCTCAGGACCCCCATGGACCCTCACAGAGCAGGTACTATTTGGGTGGTGGATCATTCTCAGCACTGCAGTAACACTGACGTGGTGGTGGTGTGTTAGTGTGTGTTGCGCTGGTGCGAGTGGATCAGACACAGCAGTGCTGCTGGAGTTTTTAAGCACCTGTTGGGGTCCTGACCATTGAAGAACAGGCTAACAAAGTATGCAGATGGACTACAGTCTGTAACTGTAACGAAGTGCTCCTATATGGTCAGTGGAGCTGATAAAATGGACAATGCGTGTAAAAACAAGGAGGTGAACTTAATAAAGTGGCTGGTTGGTGTATATCTCAAAAAAACAAATGGTCTATAATGCTTTATAATCCAGTAAATGAACTGGAGTTTTCACATTACACATCATCAGTGGTGACTGTTCTGTGAGTGTGAGGAAGTCCAGTATTCACAGTTACCACCTAATACCTAGTTTATTTAGGTTATTTAATCAGTCCTTCATTATATTAAATCAGGTGCTGCCGAAGGAATCAAAGAAATTCATGCGATGACTGGAAAACAGCGTGAGGTCAGGAACCAAACTGTGCTCTTCTAACTGGATTTATATGAGCAGTAAGTGTGTTTTAGAATAAACAAACGTAAAACTTAACAAGAATGAAAAAGGAGTGAGTTGGGTGCTTCACAGGCTTACAGAACAGAATAGAACAGAGCAGAACAGACCTGTATCAGCCTGGCCTGGCAGCTTCGCTTTCACTTTGTGGATGAAGCGCTTGCGCAGGGTCCTGAGAAACGAGTCAGCCGAGCAGCAGAAAGACGAGTCACTCTCGCAGCACTCCTCCCAAAACATCTGAACGTTCTTCAGCTTCGGCACTTCACACAGCACTGCGAGAAAATCAGGTCACAACATGATGAGCCTGGGGTACCTACACTTTATCAGCTCAGACAGACATGAATTCTCATCTCTGGGAAAAATGAACACTAGATATTCTATCATAACACACACACACACACACACACACACACACATCTTCTAAGCCGCTTATCCTTCTGGGTCACAGTGGGAGCTGGAGCCCATCCCAGCAGTCATTGGGAAGAAGGCAGGACACACCCTGGACAGGTTACCAGTCCATTGTAGGGCAGACAGACAGACAAATTCACACACACACACACACCTAGGGGTAATCTATCTATCAATCAATCTATCTATCAATCAACTGGCCTGACTGCGTGACTTTGGACTGTGGGAGGAAACCGGAGTACCCAGAAGAAACCCGTGCAGACATGGAGAGAACATGCAAACTCCACAGAAAAGGGACCCTGGTCCCCCGGCTGGGGAATCGAACCCAGGCCCTCCTTGCTGTGGGGTGACAGTGCTACCCACTGCATCACCATGCCACTCTTATAATCATGAAGGTCATGACCTTCAATCATCTGGAAGGTAGTAGAAGGTCATAACAGATCCTCACAAACAGCCATGATCATTATCTAATAGTTTGTTAATGACTTTAAATTATAATCTAATAAATGTGCTTTAATTAATGGTACCAGTTGAGTTATCAGCCATTTATGTAGAGACATAAAGATTTAATGAATATTTTGAATTGTCAAACATACTATTTGATAATAATTTGTTAGTTATGATTTAGTGACTCATAATAACTCATAATATTAAGCATTTGCTTGGTTTGTTGTAACTGCTCTGACTACCTTTGCTGTCTTGCAACTTTGAGAAGCATAAATGTTTCCAATCGTTGTTAAGTGGTTAAAATATAATTCTTAACCTTAATAATCATTAATCAGACCCCTGTCATAAGATTGTGAAATTATAATGTGTTTTAAATGATCTCATATTATGGACAACAGTTAAATATAATATGTACTGCAAAAAAAATACATCTATAACAAGATAAATCATCTTAAATTGAGAGAAAATATCTATTATTTCTCATTTTTAGATGGTTGTATGAATATTTTAAGATTATAAAACATTTCTTGATGTTTTTACTTGAGTTACTTTGAGTTCTCACTGTACTGGCAGATCATTTTGCTGGTTTCAAGCACATTTCTCAAAATAAGCAATATTATCTGCCACTGTAGTGAGATAACTTGAAAAAATCACTTAAAACAAGTAAAAATGTCTAGAAATGAATTAAATCTTATAAGCTTACAACAATCTTAAAATGAGGAATATTAGATATATCGACTTGTTTCATAACAATTTTACTTGCAATAAACATTAACTTGTATTAGCAAACTATTAGAGAACCTGTTATCACAGTAAGTTATACTGGGTAAATTGCATTTCCATCCAGACTGATCTCCATATGATTCCTCCTTCCTCTGTGGAGTCATCAGTTACAGAACCCAGAATAGTCTCCCAAACTGATACTCCACACCAGGTGAAATATAATAGCTCATCTGAGATTTTCTGACAGCTTTATGTTTCCCTGTTTATTCACATTAAGTCTATTTTTAACCGTATTCCCTCAACATGACTGTAGATACTGTGGACTTTCAGCCAGCGGCTCTGAGCAAAGTGCAAAAAATAGTATCTCATCAAGTGAAATGAGCTTAAATCTAGTCGAGTTATCGAATATTTCCCATTTTGAGATGGTTGTGCACTCATTATATGATTTTATAGCTTATTTCAAGACATTTTTACTTGTTTTAAGTAATTTTATCAAGTAAAAAAAACTCCATCAGCACTGCTGTGTCTGATCCACTCAGACCAGCACAACACACACTAACACACCACCACCACGTCAGTGTTACTGCAGTGCTGAGAATGATCCACCACCCAAATAGTACCTGCTCTGTGAGGGTCCATGGGGGTCCTGACCACTGAAGAACAGGGTAAAAGGGGGCTAACAAAGTATCAGAGAAACAGATGGACTACAGTCTGTAACTGTAGAACTACAAAGTGCACCTATATAGTAAGTGGAGCTGATAAAATGGACAATGAGTGTAGAAACAAGGAGGTGGTCAGAATGTTGTTCCTGATTGGTGTATTTGTTTCATACATTTTTCTTAAAAAACAAAACAAAACAGTCAATACAGTGATGGAAATTTACTTAAAACAAGTAAAAACGTTTGGAAATAAGTTAAATAATCTTAAATTAAGCTCACAACAATCTCAACAGAAGAAATATTAGATTTAGAAGACTGTGCAGTGTTGTGACTATTTTGAGCACCTTATGATGAACAGATTAAGCAGGTTTGTTTGGGGTTTGTTCAGCCAGCTGTCGTGTATTTCTGCACAGTCTGCTGCAGTTGTTGCCCTGGGAGATGGGGGTAGGGGGCGAGGGGGGTGGCGGGGGATGAAGTGAAGGCTTTAACCTGTGTGTCTTGGTTTACCTCATATGGGTGATTCTACTGAACTGGGTCAAAGTCAGAGCTGAAAGCACATTTGGGACTTTTAACTGATCTTGAACTTTAGACTAAAATCCTTTTGCTCTGAGTGACTCTAAACCTTAATTATGTTTATTTTATACAACAGTTAGTTCCGGCCACACCAGCTAAATGGTTAAGAAGCGTTCTAGCACAAACACCGTATCACTCCGCTGAGATGCCGTTGCTAAGCAACAACTTAGACAGCTTTAGGAGACGCTCAAGACATTTGAACGTTTTTACTTCTTACTTTGCCACAAACAGAAAATGGACACTTTTAAGATCACATTTGACCAACAGACAATTTGGTCAGACTCTGAAGATGAGACGACGCTAAATTCCCAAATGGCATTAGCCAGAATTAGCCAGAAATGAACCCAACACCATTCGCCAAACTAAACGGGCTGTAAGATGCTTTACAGACTGGCTGGAACAAAACAACATTAATACTGATCTGGCAAAAACTGACAAAACTGAGCTAAACTTGATATTGCGGCAGTTTTATGGCTCAGTCTGATTTGGTCAGACTCTGAAGATCAGACTACATGTTTGGCGAATGGTATTCAGTTATATAAAGCTTATATAACAATCTCAACGAGTGTAATATTAGATTTATTGACTTGATTTAAGATCATTTTACTTGACAAGACATTATTTTTTAGAAGTAAAACGTATTTAGAAAGAAGTCGATCACATCATACGCTTACAACCGTCTCAACATGAGGAATACTAGATGTATTGATTAGATTTAAGATAATTTCACTTGCCAAGATGCCATTTTTTGCAGTGCACTGTGAGAGATGTGCTGCTACTTCAGGCTGTGTGAAAAAGAATAAATGGCAGAGACGACAATTCTGTCAAATTCAGATGCGTCAGTCACTCACGCTCTGCTGCTGAGACGTCGTCGGTCTTCTTATGTGTCAAAGCGTCGATTTTTTCAAGCACCTCAGTTTGACGTGACAGCTCTTCCAGAATGTCCTGCCGGACGTGATCTGCATCAGACAGCCTCAGCGCCTGAACAGTGATACAACAAGACGGATATCATGTAACAGAGACTCAACAACAAACTCACTACAGCAGGTTTCATCTCCTCTGACCCTCCACACGGACACTAGCGCTCGAGAGTTTGGGGTCACTGATTTCAATAAATGCAAAACCAATTTTTTTGAAGATTAAACGATTCTACAATGAAACTAATTTCTTACGAGATTCAATCAGTTTGTAGGAAGCTGAAAAAATGAAGATGTTTGGACGATAAATGGAGCTGTACGTGATTTTATGATAATTAATAAATCTGTACAGCATTGAGAATGAACTGATAAAGAAACTGACACCCACAGTGCCTCATATTTGAAAATCATAACCAAATCTCACTAATTAAACAGCTGTTCATAGTGTGTTTGTGATATTAAACATAAATTATCGCTCATTTTTTTAATATGTCCAAATTTTATGTTGTTCCCAAAATACTGTAAACTGTGAATAAATATTTAAGTTTACAGCATTTCAATCTAAACTGCATTACTGAATAACAATTACTGTTATTATGACAAGTGACCCCAAACTTTTGAGCATTTGTGTAAAAAGATGATATGAAGAAACGTCCCACAGAAACCTGCACACTTAAAAAGGATGGTTCTTCAAGGCTTCTTTAGTAAATGGTTCTATATAGAACCAAAAACATTCAAAGAACACTTTTCATGATTAAAGGGTTCTTTGCATGGTGAAATGGTTCTTCAGATTGATGGAGAATGTGCTGCAGGTGGTTCTATACCACCTTGCTGCGTGAGGTCATTTCATGACTTTTTTAAACTTTTTGTCATATAACAATGAACATATGATATCACAGCACTGTTTAATGCAAAAATATTCACTTTATAAGAACTTTTGGTCACCAAATTACCATCGCGAGTCTTATTTAGCACCAATCCAGCACATAGTGCACTACGTAGGAGTTTAAATACTGGATCCTGCAGCCCAACAGAGCCAAATACAGCTAAGAAACAGTCATTTGGGACTCAGACTCATCCACACTCGATACATGATGCACTGTTTGGCTGTAGAGGCTAAAATGTCTGAACTTTCATAGCTAGAACACTATTTAGGGAGTACGGAGCCGTTTGGGATTTAGTCTGGGTTTGATGTGATTTCGACTGAAACAAGAACATTTGAAGTGTGTAAAACATTCAAGTGAGATTTCTTAGACTTTTATACTGCAGTTTTACAGTAAATCATACCGTAGTACTTTAATTCAAGCCTGTGATTTTAATGATGGAGCTGTTTAAGCTTTTTACTCTCTTTTAGCCTGTTGGCTTGCTGACCAGCCCAGTTCTAGTTAAGAAAATAAGTTGTAAGTTAAGCCCCTCAATGTAAACAAAAGTGGGTCCTTATCTCCAAATGGTATCTCGTATCTCCAAAATGGTAACTTTACAGGAGAAGGAAAAAACATACTTTACTTTTAATGTAAGTCAATGGAACCAGACATTTTTCCAAGTATATTTTGGTCATTTCTTTTAGTCCATTCATCATGAAATTTACACACAATATAAAAGGCAACAGGTACTTTCAAATTATGTCAAAAACTGAAAAGCGACAAAAATGGAGATTCGAGGTTTTCTTCCGAGAGCAGAGATATAATAAAAGATATGGTGATGTTTCTCACCCTCAGTAGTGCAGTGCAGATGTTGAGGTGGACCTCCAGGGCTTGGTCCAGAGTATACTCCCCCGTGCTGAGTGGGCTCCTGTCCTCACTCTCCGCTCTTTGTGGGCCCTGTCCGGTTTCCTGGCCCTCTGAGGACAGAGCAGTGTCCTGAGCCAGCACCCCTCGGCTTTTCACAGTGTTCTCCTTCAACGAACCCGTCCTGAAACAACAAACGTTATAATTATTGTGGATGAACATTTGCAGAGACCTTGAAAGTTTGGAGATGGAGTTTAATTTGGGGTATTAATAGGCCGTTTGTCCCCCCTTTACTGCGGTAATATTTAACAGCACTTCCTTTTTGGTCCAGAAGAGGGCGCCTTAGTACTGCACTTCAATGCACAGTGACACAGCAAGTCAAACCCTTTACTGCATGCAGATAGACCAAACAGGAGTGGCCCTGTTTATATCCTATGACTTTCAACAATGAGAAATAACTTTTATTTGCCTTTGGGACGAAGTGATTTTAAACATGAAAGACCTACCCTGCTGAAAAAGAACCATTATAAACCATTACGATTCAAACCTAATGATTTTGTTTTTTAATGGAAATTGGTTTAATGGTTTTCAATAGAGACCTGACTAGATTCCTCTAGAACACCTTTAGATCCCATTCGGAAACAACACTGTCTTAAATCTGGTCTAAATATCTAATATTCCTCATTTTCACATTGTATAATGTATAATGATCTCACTGTATTGGCAGATAATTGTTTATTTTAAGAAACATGCTTGAATCCAGCAAAATGATCTGCCAATATAGCGAGATAATTTCACTTGATAAAATTATTTTAAATAAGTAAACAACATTTAGAAATAAGTTTTATAATTTTATATTCATGCAACCATCTAAAAATGAGATGTTAAATATTTGGACTAGATTTAAGATCATTTCTCCTGTTAAGATATCATTTTTTGCAGTGCATCAAATTCATTTAGAATCAGCCACTGGTCGCCTGTTAAACCATTAAGATCCTTTACACTATGATATCAACCCATCAAAAAAGCCAAATTACACATTAGAAAACCATCAAGAACCAACAGAAACACTTAATTGTTTCTATGTTTTTTTTTCTTCAGCAGGGTAGAGAAGGTAAAGAGTCCATTTCTGTCCATCACATGAGTAGATGAACTGAAATACACTTCACGGAGACAAAAAGTCTACATGTACACATGTGAACATGCAGACCTCATATTCTAATTCAAATCCTCCCGACGAACTCAAAACAAACTGTTTACCAAAGCAACACACATCGGAGGCGTCACTGGACAGTCACTGGACAGAGGCGTCACTGGATCAGTTTTTAAATATTATTTAGTTCCCCAAAATGAATGGACATAGTAGGATTTCAGCTGCTCATCAGTTCGGGGGCTGATTTGTCATATTTTTCATTCCATAACCCTCCAAATGTTATCAGTGGTGACAGGTCTGGACTGTAGGCAGGTCAGTTTAGCACCTGGAGACTTTTAATACGGAGCAATGCTGTTGTAATACATGCAGAATGTGGTTTGACACTGTCTTGCTGAAATAATCAAGGCCTTCCCTGAAAAAGACGTCGTCTGGATGGCAGCATATGTTGCCAAAACACACACACATATATATATATATATATATATATATATATATATATATATATATATATAGATATATATATATATATATACACACCGATCGGGCATAACATTCTGACCACCTCCTTGTTTCTACGCTCATTGTCCATTTTATCAGCTCCACTTACTATATAGGTGCACTTTGTAGTTCTACAGTTACAGACTGTAGTCCATCTGTTTCTCTGATACTTTGTTAGCCCCCTTTTACCCTGTTCTTCAGTGGTCAGGACCCCCATGGACCCTCACAGAGCAGGTACTATTTGTGGTGGATCATTCTCAGCACTGCAGTAACACTGATGTGGTGGTGGTGTGTTCGTGTGTGTTGCGCTGGTCTGAGTGGATCAGACACAGCAGTGCTGCTGGAGTTTTTAAACACCTCAGTGTCACTGCTGGACTGAGAATAGTCCATCAACCAAAAACATCCAGCCAACAGCGTCCTGTGGGCAGCGTCCTGTGACCACTGATGAAGGACTAGAGGATGACCAACACAAACTGTGCAGCAGCAGATGAGCTATCGTCTCTGACTTTACACCTACAAGGTGGACCGACAAGGTAGGAGCGTCTAATAGAGTGGACAGTGAGATCGACTCGTGGAGAAACAAGGTGGTCATAATGTTATGCCTGATCGGTGTATAATGTCCAGTTGGTGCTCAGTGTACAATAATGTCCCAGCACAGTGACGAGATGTTGTACTTTGTGATCGCTGTTGGTACAAACATTTTGGTGCTATATACACACTTAAAAAAGATGGTTCTTCAAGGGTTCTTTACTAAGAAAAAGGTTTTATATAGAACCATGAACACTCAAAGAACCCTTTGCATGATTAAAGGGTTCTTTGCAACTTGAAAGTGTTCTTGAGATTGACGGTGAACGTGCTGTAGATGGTTCTATATAGAATGTTTTTGAAAAGGGTTCTGTAATTGTTACGATACGAGCTTGTAATGATAGCAGAACCTATTTTGGTGCCATCTAATAACATTTTCCAGTTGCAAAGAACACTATAATCATTCACAGGGTTCTTTGAGAGTTCATGGTTCTATATAGAACAGTTTTCTTTAGTAGAACCCTTGAAGAGCCGTCTTTGTAAGAGTGTCACTAGTATACAAATATTTCACATTTACAGCATTTAGCAGACACTCTTATCCAGAGCGACTTACAATGTGATCATTGTACACAGGTAGGTGAAGGGAGTGTTAGGAGTCTTGCCCAAGGACTCTTATTGGTATAGTGTAGAGTGTTTACCCAGGCAGGGACTGAACCCCAGTCTACAGCGTAGAAGGTAGTGGTGTTACCCACCACACTACACCAACCACTAGTTTCCATTCCTGCCCAAGAAATGAAGTGTACCTCTCTTTTCTCTACAGACCTACTTACACATTTGTAGCTTAGCTTAAATTAGGTAGCAAGATGTGCTGCAGAACCAGTGACCTACAAAACTGGAGGCACTTTGTGAGCACTGAGGTTTCCATTCTGTGTGTCCAAGTTTCTTCTCCAGCTTTAAACTATTAAGCTGAATGGGAAATAGGAAATCTCTGCACTGCTGATGTTCTCCAGGACCAGCCCAGTGTGTTTATTTAGAGCACAAACTGCTTCTAAAGCTGGTGGTCATGCTTTGATGCTGCCTCCCGTGAGACCCCAGAGGCACAAGAGGTTGTGGCTGGGGTGGTCTTAAACCCTTCAGGGTTCTACGGTAAGCTTTTTGCCACCACTGGTGCTCCTGATTTGAAATCAACACAGAAATATCTACGAGTACAAACTTATTCCCTCTTTTTAAGTCAGAATCACAATCAGAGTCACTTTATTTCACCAAATGTGTTACACATACAAGTAATCAGTCTTGGTGAGTCACACATGTATGGCATTAACACACTGAACAGACCAGACAAACAGACTGATAACAAGCATTTAACTAAGAGACAAATCAAATAAAACTACAATAATAGAATAAAGAATAATAAAGAGCTGATGGGAGAGGAGCTAAAGAATTGTGTGAATATCTCTACCTGTGTACACTCTTAAATGGTTCTTCAAGGGTTCTTTAGTAAAGAAAATGGTTCTATATAGAACCATGAACACTCAAAGGACCCTTTGCATAATTAAAGGGTTCTTTGCATCATAAATAGGTTCTTCAGATTGATGGAAATGAGCTATATAAAATTGCTATTATAATAATGTAAATTTATTTTAATCTACTAATTTGGAATGCAAAATACTGTGAATGCTACCTAACGAAGAGCCATTTTGGAGCTGAAAGTGTCAGTTTTTATTGGTGAGCTGACTCAGTGAAAAGAGTTGGAACGTCCATCACTAGTCGTGCACGAGTTCAGCTGCTTTGCTTTTATTTTAATGTAAAACAGGCCCTGCCTACCGGCTATACCAAACACATTTCCCCTCAGTTCTAACTTCTCAATTAAATTAAATGCTCTATTTGGGAGTTTTTTCTGTTTATATGAAAGGACCATTTAGCTGCTGGATGTTTTGCCTACCATTAGATTTAGTAGCCTGTTTAAGCGCCAGGGCTTTGGTTTAAATGATGACAGAGCCGAATTGGTTAATAATGCTGGGCAGCGCATTGGAAACATGTCGCTGAGCCTGATATTGGCTGTTTCTGTGAAGCCACTGAGCAGCGAAACAAACTTTTTACCCACTGAGATTTACATTCACTGCGATAAGACCACAGCAAAGGCAGTAACCCACAGTTCTTAACTGAACCAGGAACTTAACAGCTATGCAGGTCAGTTATTTAGCAGGTTGGTTAGGCGTCTACTGACATGCATGATGAGCCACTGGGCTAATTTTCTCATTGTGCCCTGTAAATATTATTTTATTCATGCTTAAGTATCTCAGGTCTTGTTGGTGAGTGATGGGAAGCGGGATGGTGAGGTCGGCCGCAGGCTGGGACAGGCGGCAGCAGTAATGCGGTCACTGTACTGGACTGTAGTGGTGAAGATGGGAGCTGAGCCATGAGGCAGAGCTCTGTGTTTACCAGTCAGTCCACATCCCCGACCCTCACCTGTGGTCATGAGCTTTGAGTAATGAGCGAAAGAATGAGATCGAGGATACAAGCAGTAGAAATGAGCTTTCTTCACAGGGTGGTGGGCTACACTCTACTTGATAGGGTGAGGAGCTCGGTCATCCAGGAGGAGCTCGGAGTAGAGCCGCTAGTCCTCCACACTGAGAGGAGCCAGTTGAGGTGGTTCAGGCATCTGATCAAGATGCCCCCTGGACGCCTCCCGTTGTTCCAGGCATGGCTTACTGGGACGAGACCCCGGGGTCTTCCTGGGACCTGCTGGAGGGATTATATCTCCAAGTTGGCCTGGGGAGCGGCTTGGGGTCCCCTGGAATGAGCTGGAGGAAGTTGCGGGGGACAGAGCTGTCTGGGATTCTCTGCTCTCCCAACTGCTACCTGTTACGGGACGGCAGGGAGGCGGACCCAAGTGCAGAGAAGAAAACCCGTGAGAACAGGTATTAAATTAATGTATTGAGGTGATGGAGTGTGACCTTGGTGATTGTGCACGTTGGAGTTGAATGCACTGAGTGGCAGTCCGAGGAGTTACTGCTGTGCCACCAGGAAGCACGGGTGAAAACGGGAAAAACATCTCAACGAATGGAAAATAAAAAGGCGGGAAAAAGGCAAACAAAGGGGACGCTGAAAGCAGCGCTCAAACAAAGACTGAGATAGAAAAGTGAAATAAAAGATAATCAGAAAACAAAAAGCACTTCCTCTGTGATTCTGAGAGGAAGGTTCACTTTGTTTCACCTGTTTGCCTTTTGCAGAGTAAACACCTTTTGTATGGCTTGGAGTCATTTCTTGCTCAAGCCTTCTTTTGGTTTTTACGTAGTTTTGGAGCAATTTCCCTCTTTTGTTTTTCAAGCCCTCTTTTCTTTTTTTTCTTTTTCCTTTCCTTTTTGTTTAAATACCCACCTGGGCTAAGTACCGTACCGGTCACCCCTCTACAAAGGTGTGACAAAGGGCTGCTGTTTGCCACAGCCTTAAGTAGAGGAGTCCACAGGTGTGCCAGGTTGTGCCTAATCAGCCCGAGGGCTTCTGGGAATTGGAGTTTCCTGAACATATGTCAACTTAGGGTGCAGGCTGGGCCCTTACACTACCACAACCTATCTAACCTAAGCGGTTAAAGATGATGAATGAATGAATGAATGAATGAATGAATGAATGCTTAATGAAACGCATAATGAAGTGAGTCAAAATCCGTTCTCACACCGGCGCTCCTAAATCAAACTTTTAGTTGCATTAAAAAGAGAAGGAGCAAATGTGAGAACTAAACCCTGCTACTATAAAAACAAATCATCATCTCAGCACCAGACAAGTCATCTGATCAAAAATGCAAGAAATATTTTGATTTTTTTGTGTTGCCATCCCAACCATTTATACAGTCTTCTGCTGAACATCTCTACTGGACGAGCTACGGAAAGCAACCCCACAACACTCAAACTAAAGTACTTTTCCATTTCAACTTCACAGGCCAACCATGTGGCTCTGTTTATTTTCTTCTAGTGCTGAGAGATCTAGCATTAGCATACACAAGCTAATTTCTCCCTGAGTTTAGTGCACAAGCAGCCTGGATCTTTAGCGCTCCTGGCACTCACTGAAATGCAGCTAAATGAAAACAGATCCGATAATCTTTAGTTTGGGAGTTGCTTTATTAACCTGTGAGGGTCAAGCACTCTGAAAAACAGTGAAGAAATCACAGCAATAATGTCACGTTTAGCTTTAGCAAATGCGCTACACAAAACAAGACATCCTGAGAGGATGGTCTTCTTGACTGGACTCACAAACCAGTGAACCTGTACGTGTCTTCTGTGTTTTATATGGAATGACGATGATGGTAAAATAGTGATAATTAAGAAGAAATTAAACGTTTTCTTTGGGGACTATTTTGCCTCACAATGCAAAGCATGCATCACTCCACCATGAATGGGTTTCATCAATAATGTTTTGGACAAAATAAATGCATTTTCATAAACATTTCATGTAATAACTTTTAGTTAGGCTTTTATAGGTGGACGTCTGGTTCCTATCACCACCACTGTGAACAATTCTGACTCTTTATGTTTCTCTAGAACAAAGCGTTTCACACCAAACCACTCTGAGTGACTTTTGAAGAATTCTTGAGAATGTTTAAGAAAAGTGTGAGAAATGAGGAACAGTCACTCTTTACACCAAACTCTTGATAAACAGGGCAAGTTTTCTAGGAATCCAGGCGTAAGTAAAGACAAATACCAAGCTAACGGTGGTGTACATTACCTTTCCCACATTGGGTAAAACACTGATGGCAGCTCTAGTTTAAACTCTGACATTTGAAGCCTGTAATGTGCTTTACTGTGAATGTTTTAGTGTTTCAGTAAATCCTTCAGTAAATTCTTCAAGTTGAAGCCTCACTCTGAACACTGGGGGAGGCTTTAGTACAGTACGCTTCACTTTACTTAGAGCGGACAAATACGACTTATGAGCTCTTATAATTTGTTATGATCAGTACTTATAATGTATTATGTTAACAATTCATAATGCACAATAAACATGGCTATAACGTATAATGCATTTTTATTAATATTTATAGCTATGTTTATAATGTCTTATGAATGCATTATAACATGTTATTAATGTGTTTATAGATGCTTACAAAGGTGACATTCATAGAAAGTGTTACCCAATCATCTTCACTGAATCTGGATTTGAGTGTCTATTTTTTTCCTGACGGAAAGCATAACTTCACACTAAGTTTATTTTCAAGGACCCTCCAGAACAAGAGGTACAAGAGGTTAGTACAAGAGGTTAGTTAGGGGGTTCCAGACTTCTCAGGACCCCCTGTATTTCACCCCTTTGTTTCTAAGTGTGTATTTCTACGTTAAGATCTGTCCTGAAAAACCCTTCAGTCAGTAGATATTGTGGTTATAGTTGTAATTTCTCCACTGTGATCTGTGATTAATGAAAGAAAGACAAACTCTTGGTGTAGTAAATGACCCCTGACCTACCCAGTGTCCCTGAGCCTGACGCTTCCCATGCAGTCAATGTCGTCTGTGCTGAAGTCGGTGGACAGGAAGTCGAAACTGCCCAGCACTTCTTCTTCCTCTACAGCTAGAGTCTCGCTGGAGGAGGTCTGGAGAGGGAAGATGTCCCTCTGAGACCGAGGGTATAAAAATTAGAAACAAATAAGAGATCAATAATTTAACAGAGCAAAAACGAATGTTCTTATATGGACCATTCTCCCGAATTAGCTCAACAGTCTAAAAACTATTTAAAACAATGAAGTATTCAGACCTTGGATATTTATAAGGATTATGTTCTGATCTATTTAAACCCAATACATTAACAGAGACAGCAATAATCTAAATATATGCAAAATCATCATTTATAGGGTACTTTCTATTGGGAGATGTCTGTTCCAAACCTCTTAATCCATTCCTAAGTTTTAGTTGGAAATAAAAGGGTGAAAATCTTGAATTGGAAAATGATCCAATCAGGATTGTTCTTTCTGTGGTATCTAGGTAGATACAGCCAGGTGAGCACTCCCATTGGTTAGGACTTCAGGAGCTGGACTGAAGGCCTTACACGTTAGATTACCAACATGCCAATCACTTTTTGATTTACAGTGGGACCAATTTCATCAGAAAAAGTCACTCTAGTCCTTCTGAAAGTTCTAGATACATCACTGACTGTGAGTCGAGTCTAAGCAGGTTCCGGGTAGTTGTTAGGAATGTTAAACAGCAGCAGCAGCTCTATGACAGAACTCTTTACTGAAAGAGCCACTGTAACACTGAAACACACAAACTCAGATATATGATAATGTATATTACAAAGCTAACATACTATTAGAAACCCCATAGGGTGCTCGCAGAAATACACTTTAACATAGAGGTGTTTATTCATTCATTTGGCTTAGTTTTGACAGTTATGGCCCAAACTGAAGGCCTACACTCTTAAAAAGAAGGTGCTTCAAGGGTTCTTTAGTAAAGAAAATGGTTCTACATGGAACCATGAACACTCAAAGAACCCTTTGCATGATTAAAGGGTTCTTTACATCATGAAATGTTCTTCGGATTGATGGAAAATGTGCATGGATGTGCTATAGACGGTTCTATATAGAACCCTTTTGAAAAGGGTTCTATATAGCACCCAGAAGGGTTCTTCTGTTGTTACAAGCTTGACATCATATCAATAGAAGAACCCTTTTGGATGCCTTATAGAATCATTTTCAAATTGTTTTTATATAGAACCATCTACAGAACATTCTCCATCAATCTGAAGAACCATTTCGTGAAGCAGATAACCCTTTATAGAACCATTTTCTTTACTAAAGAACCCTTGAAGCACCTTTTTTAGAAGTGTGGCTCTAATAGCCACAGTTCACCACTGAATTTACTTGACTAAATGTGTGCATTATTTCCACATAAAAAAATATATCATAATATATCAAATATATTAAGATTTGGCAATAATTTTGTTGGAAAATGTGCACATTACTCAGTGGCTCACTCTTCAGAGGCTGCTGATGATCTCACCTTCAGGTCCTGATAGAACTGCCGCGTTTGTAGATCCAGTCGTTTTAACTCTTCCTCAGTGCAGCTCATTTCCTGCAGCGTAGCATCCAGCTCTGCTAGCGCCAAGCTAACTTTCACAGCCACTGCTTTCCTTTGGGAATTCCCAACAACTCCTGCCCGAACCTTGGGCTTCTCCTTCACCTCCTGCTCTGCTGAGGCCTCCTCCACCCTGACCTCTTCTGCTGCTGTACTTTGCTCTGCTTCCACCTCCTGATTGGTGGCCACCTCCCCATTTTGCCGGAGGATATCAGGAGTACTGTAGCGCTGGAAGAGGAATATAGAGTCTCGCTTGCTGCCTCGTGGGCTCGGAGAGCTGGTCTCAGGCTCTGAAGGCCATTCTCCACTCTCGTCCCCCTGGAAGGAATATAAAGTTATTCTGGCTGACTTAGCAATACAGTTAGTTACAATAAAGCAGGTGATAGGAACCAGGGGTCGCCATGACTACACACAACACAAATATAGACATTTTATTTACTATCCAGAACCACCAGTGAACCTACACGAGTCTTCTGAGTTTATATGGAATGTTGATGATGGAAAATAGTGATACATTTTCTTTGGGTCTATTTTGCCTCACAACACCCTGCATGTATCCCTTCACCATGAGATATGACTTAGACCAAAATTTCCTCAAAACTATGGTAAAACAGTGTCTCAGACATCAGGCAGTGAATTCATAACCATTTCATGTAGTAACTTTCTGTGAGGGAGCTTTTAGAGGTGGACGTCTGGTTCCTATCACCACCACTGTGAACAGTTCTGACTCTGTAAGTTTCTCTAGAACAGAGCGTTTCACACCAAACCACTCTGAATGACTCTGATTACATCTTAACCATTTAAATGTGCAAAAAATGTGAAAAAAAATTACCCTTTAAATATGTCAATGTTTTCTGCAAAGTCCTGCACAATTTCTATTTATTTGCTGAGTTTAACATATTAGAAAAAAAATACAATATGTGCTGTTACTTTTGCACACGCCACATGTTATGTTTTATTTTCTTTCCCCAACATGTTCAATTTAACAAATAAACAATAATTGCATATTTAAATGTGCAGAAGTGCGTCTCTGTAGAGGATGTGTTCACTTATTTTTACTCAGAAAATCAACAAAACATAAAAAATTTGACCAGGGGTGCCCAAACTTTTGCATACAACTGTAGATAGATTTATTTTATTTGTTAAAACAATTAGAATGAGTGCAAATAAACAAATGAACAACCCATTGTGATTTGTGAGTTTTCTTAACCATTTCCAAATTTCTCCTGGAGGAAGTTCAGTATTTACAGTGATCATCCAGCACCTGCTTCATCTAATCAATACTTCATCAAACTAAATCAGGTGATGGAATTGAAAAAGTCCATGTGATGGCTGGAGCGCAGCGAGAAGTCACGAACCAACCCTGCATATTCACAACTTTACCGAAAACAACACTTTTTACTTTTTCACTGTATTTATGTTTATTTGTATTAATTCTAAAGTTATGTAGTGTTTTTACTGGCAAAATCACACTTACTAACTGACGGCTTCTACATCCGTTTCTACATTTCTATCATCATTATGTACATTTTTGTAAATGGGTCATTCTCCACTTGGAGTGGGAAACCATGTCAGAAAGATTTCAGGGCTTAGAAAGATGCTTAAAATATCAGGCTCAGCTCCAAAAGTTGGTATGTATTATTATATTACACACTTGACCTAAGATTGAATAACACTTTCCCCTTATGATTCTCTGACTTTCTTTTTCATAGTCGCTCAGCACCTGTAAAACTGCTCATCACAAACCCAATTTTCAACAATTTTTAATAAAAGACAATATTTTTAAGAGGTTTAACTTAGAAATTTATTTAAACAGATTCATGTTTACGTTTTATATCATTAACTTTATACTACATTTAAAAAATATGTATTTTATTTAAACAATTCATTTGTGACAGAGATTGTGGTCACTGGTGTTATCAGGACTCTTATTCTACATTTGAACAGTATTTTCAGCTCTATTAAACTGCTTCTTTGGGTCGAGGCTCATCAGAGAGGAAACGTTCCCAAGGCCTGAGAAGGCGAGTCACACTCGCTCACTATATTTAATTCATTTATTAATAATTTTTGTTTAGCAGGCAGCTCAGAACTTCTATGTGTCAGATGTATTGTGTGCTTTAATGACTGGGTAATTAAAATTTTGTCAAAATAATGACAAATTATCATTTTTATTATTGATTTTAAATAGTTGCAGAAGGTCACCTGACCACCAATGAGTCGGCCAGTTTACAAAATCCTCAGAATGTCACTGGAGTCACCGTCACTGGTGCTACACCACATTCATACAACACCAATGACTGTAGAATATGTCTGGAATTAAGCTCTCCTTTCTGCATTTATGATAACAGGAGATGTTAATTGACACATTAAGATTATTTAGTTTTGGGTTGAAAGAAATGTATCCATCTGAATTCCCACTCCAAATGGAGAATGACCCAAATTCTGTAGTTGTACTAATCCCACCTCTCCCAGGGGGGTCTTTAGAAGATCATCATCCACCGACTGAGTGTCCGCTGATGGCTCAGGGGTGACCGGAAGACGACCGGCTCTCTCATAGGCCGGCGGAGTGAGCGCCTGGGCGGAGTCAGACAGGTAGCTGAGCAGAGACACGCCCCGGGATTCGCGGGAGCCAATAGAGAACGAGCCATCTGGATCTTGGAGCTGACGCATCATAGACTGCAGCACAGAGGAGACGGAGGAGATGAGGTTGGTGTGAGAAAGCTTGGAGAACATGTTCCTTCCAAACTGCTGCTGTCGGAACAAAACCTTGCATCTCCGCTTTTTGTTTTTTTCATTTTTGATATCATTTGAAAATGCCTGTTGCTCTTTACATTGTGTTTATAATGAATGGAAGCAAAACAAATGGATCAAAATTACTTGGAAAAAAGTCTGGTTCCATTGACTTACATTTAAAGTAAAGCAGGTTTTTTCCTTCTCCTGTAAAGTTACGAGGTTTTGTTCCAACAGCAGCGATTTGTTCTGAAATCAAGATTCAACCATTTCTACATCTGTTGTAAACAGAGCTAAAGTTACTGCTACAAAGCTGAATATCTCAGCCGTATATCTGTAGTAACTGTGATCAAATCATCATTACAGTTGAGAGAATTGATCACTCAAACCACAGAAATTACTCACCAGATGAGACAGACAACAAGCTAAAAGCTAAAGTTAGCAAACCAGCTATCTAGATTTCTCTGAGTGAAAGGGTAAAAACTTGTCTCTAGCAAACACTTGCTGCTGAATAAATGGGTCATTCTACAGAAACGTCCACTTTCCTATCTCTCCATAGGAGTCACTGGTGTTACTGATCCTCATTGGTGTTACACATAATAAAGGAACACCAGAGACATTTTAATGAAAAATGCATTTTACAAAATAACTGCTACAGAGCATCAAACCACATGTTGTCAATCATGGAATATCCACTAAAATATGAAATTTAATCCATTTGTGTTCTATTTTTTCATAGTTACCTCAGAATAAAGTCGGTCACACCAGTGACTTCAGCTAAAAGCTTCATATGAAATCATGAGCTAAATGAGAAAATCTCTGATAACTGAAAGACACAGTGGACTCACCATGTGCTTTTCTTCATAGATCCTCAGAAAACAGGTAAAAGGAAGTCGAGTGATGTCATCAGTGTGACTTTTATTTCAAAATAAGAGATTTTTTTGTTACACAGTAACACCAGTGACACGACTCCTGGGGAACTTTCATTATATATTTTATAATATTTATTTGGCTTTTGTTTTCTTTATGTCATCATATATTTCATAGTCATGTATAGATTATTGTAGTTAAAATTGCAGAAAAATGTGTTTTTTTTTCTTCAAAATATGGCCTCAGCCTTCACACATGACTGTGGGGACGAGCTCTTCTGTGGTGCTTGGAATTCTAGATAATTGATTTAAAAACCAATATTGCTAAATTTATGGCTGATGAAGGTATAATTGTTAAAATAATGTATTGTTTTATTTTAAAAATATTAATTAATTGTAAACATAAAAATAAATATAAACGTTTTTTAAGTGTTATATATCTGTAAACGCTAAGGACACAAAAATGGCCGTTTCTGTAGAATGACCCAAATGTAGAATTGCTGTTTTCTTTATGCTCTTGTTTGATGACTGGGGTAAAAATTACATTAATGCCAGTTTGATTGTATTTATTAGCCTATAGATCAGTGGCTGGCAGTCCTTATTGTGTGTGTGATGTATTTGGGTAATGCATGCTGGGAATACCGATGAAAGAAAACAGGGAAATAGTATAAAATTGTGAATTCTGTCAGACTGATAAAACGTGTCAGCAGTGGGTTCTGCTTAAAGTAGCTTAATGGGCCTTTTTTGCATTTCCGAGCACCAGAACGTAACTGCAGCACCACCTAAAATGGAACAGAATATTTATTAACTTCATAGGAAGTTTACAGTCGTAAAGCAGTTTACTGATACTGCAGAAGCAGCCTGACCTAACAGAGCACTGCAGCCACAGATTTGAGCTCATTAGTTGGTCAATGCTGGTAGCTCGCATCGTTGATTAGCTGACTCTCTCTGCGCTGCTAGCTTAACTGGGTCAAACATTACTTTGTGATGGTTGTCATTTCTCCTCAGTGTCTGTGTTTACATGCAAAGATTTTTGCCAATCCGATTAAATACATTCCGATTACAGATTAAGACTGATATGTTTATATTCTCACTCTACCCAACAATCTGATGGAAAATCTCAGTTTACATGCTCACTACAAGTAATCGATCCAAAATTACCACTTAAAAGAACCACTTAGTGTAGACTGTTACCATGACAACGAGCATCACGGGAGTCCAGTCAGAGTGAGACGAGCAGCAGTGAGCAGTGTTTGTGTTTTTAATCACTTTAAAATGATATCAGTCTCAGGAAAACGTCCTTCACATGTCCTTATTAAAGAAGGCCGAGAGGAAGACGTCGTGTTCTGAGACACATAAGCTGGACGTCCGTCCCACCGCCGTCTTTTAAAGATCAGAGCATAAACTTCGTCTCCTCTGCAGACCAGTTTCTGCTCCGCCATGTTGAACGGTATAAACTCTCACTATGCAGAACATACTTAAACTTTCCGATAGGGAATGTAATCAGATACAGGCGTTTACACAGATATTATTCTTCTATTTAACGGATTATTTACAGGATTACCCACCTCGTTTAATCAGACAGAAATATTATTCCGAATGGCCTCAATCAGTCTAGTCTATTATTCTATTCCTATTGAGCTATTAGCCAGATTATTAACAGATTATTAGGCTGCATGTAAACGTGGCTAGTGATCTGTACGATCTGACCCTCACTATCACCTCCTCATTCACAATATTTGAAATTGCATGTACACATAAAAACATTAACAATTTAAATATATGTAAATATGAAAACCAGCCAAAAATTTGCAGTCATGTTAACTAAGTTGGCTGACTGTGTTAAAGTAACTTGAAACTGCCTGTATCCTTTATTCTTGGTGTGTGTTGTCTGTGTGTGTCATCTTTTATAAATCGGTCCACATCACTGCCTGAGATATGAAGAAGGTCCTCAAGACAACTTGCTAAGTGTCCTACTGCCGTTTTTTTATATGACCGGCAGGCTAATCGGATGTGTTGCTACGTGCTTTGTCGCTACATCCTCTTAACAGCACTGGAGTGTGAAAAGGGCCTAGTCACTATTAGAAGGGCTGTCTGGCTACTTTTGGACAGATAGTGTATGTGTCTCACTAACACTCACTAAAAAGTACTTCTCGGTGAAGCTGGGGGTGTTTGGAGGCGTCCAGCTGTACATGGATCCCTTCCTGCTGTGGACAGACTGTCGGCTGGCAGACGACACGATGGGCTTCACCTCGCCGCTGTCAAAAGGACTACAGAAAAAGAAACAGAGAGAGAGAAAGAGATGGAGTGGTCAGTAGAGCTGGTCAATATGACGATAAGGTATGTTGATTAGACAGCACCATCTGATTGTTTGAGAAGCGTTCTACCCATGTTGTTATTTGTGATAACAGAATGTATGAAAGCTCACAATAACTGTCTCGTTCCGCTGAGAACCAGCTGCTAATTAACACACCATTAAGGATTGCAATGACAGAACGGACACATGTATTGCTAAATTGACACAATTTGATTGGCAGGACACATCGTTAGAAGCTCAACAGGTGCTTTTGGAGTGTGAGTTCCTTAACATTCAGCTACATGGCAAACTACAAAACAGCCACCTGCGCAGATCAATAACTACTCCATCCTAAACTACAAGCCTGTAAACATGCTGTTTTGATGACTTTTCTCACCCGTAGTGTTGTTTGTGAAATGCATGAAGCAGTAATGGCTACTGTCACAACAAACCTGCATCACCATATGGAACATTTCTGGAATTAAACATATATTTATTTGGTTATGATCACTACAGTGCAAAAAAATAAAATAAATACCTTATAGTGGATACTGAATAATTCATAGTTGACACTAAATAACTCACAGTACATACTGAATAACTCACAGTACATACTGAATAACTCACAGTAGATACTGAATAATTCATAGTAGATACTGAATAACTCACAGTACATACTGAATAACTCACAGTAGATACTGAATAATTCATAGTAGATACTGAATAACTCACAGCAGATACTGAATAACTCACAGTAGATACTGAATAATTCATAGTAGATACTGAATAATTCATAGTAGATACTGAATAATTCATAGTAGATACTGAATAACTCACAGTAGATACTGAATAATTCATAGTAGATACTGAATAACTCACAGTACATACTGAATAACTCACACTAGATACTGAATAATTCATAGTAGATACTGAATAACTCACAGTAGATACTGAATAATTCATAGTAGATACTGAATAACTCACAGTACATACTGAATAACTCACACTAGATACTGAATAATTCATAGTAGATACTGAATAATTCATAGTAGATACTGAATAACTCACAGTAGATACTGAATAACTCACAGTAGATACTGAATAATTCATAGTAGATACTGAATAACTCACAGTACATACTGAATAACTCACAGTACATACTGAATAACTCACACTAGATACTGAATAATTCATAGTAGATACTGAATAACTCACAGTAGATACTGAATAATTCATAGTAGATACTGAATAACTCACAGTACATACTGAATAACTCACAGTAGATACTGAATAATTCATAGTAGATACTGAATAACTCAGTACATACTGAATAATTCACAGTAGATACTGAATAATTCATAGTAGATACTGAATAATTCATAGTAGATACTGAATAATTCACAGTAGATACTGAATAATTCATAGTAGATACTGAATAATTCATAGTAGATACTGAATAACTCATAGTAGATACTGAATAATTCATAGTAGACACTGAATAATTCATAGTAGATACTGAATAATTCATAGTAGATACTGAATAATTCACAGTAGATACTGAATAAATCATAGTGAATACTGAATAACTCATAGTAGATACTGAATAATTCACAGTAGATACTGAATAATTCATAGTAGATACTGAATAATTCATAGTAGATACTGAATAACTCATAGTAGATACTGAATAATTCACAGTAGATACTGAATAAATCATAGTAGATACTGAATAACTCATAGTAGATACTGAATAACTCACAGTAGATACTGAATAATTCATAGTAGATACTGAATAACTCATAGTAGATACTGAATAATTCATAGTAGACACTGAATAATTCATTGTAGATACTGAATAATTCATAGTAGATACTGAATAATTCATAGTAGATACTGAATAACTCATAGTAGATACTGAATAATTCATAGTAGACACTGAATAATTCATTGTAGATACTGAATAACTCAGTGGATACAGATTAATTCACAGTAATAAAATTTTGTCATATGTTATATTGTTGCTGTATCACCCACCCGTATTGGTTAATGTAAGATTCAGGAGCACCTAAACTCAGAGTCAGCACTCTAATGAACCTGAGGTGGATCAAAACCAGACTGAGCTTAATAACAGCAGCTTCAGGCTGCATTCTTAGGTAAACCACTCTCAAGATTCAAAACAGAACATTAAATGTGTAAAAGCAGAAAACTCATGCTTTGAAATGAGGGTGCATTGCGTGTGTACGAGTGGTTGAGGTTAAACTGGGAGAACTGCTGTGGTCTGGAACTTTTTAATTTGTGAAAGTCACTGTAGCTACACAAATGTCAAGGTTAATCTGGACCTGGATTGTTTTCAGGCTTGTTTTTCTTTCAGTGTACAAGCACACTGAGGTACAGTGAGAAAACAATGGACAGATCCTGGGTCACTTGACACAGAGCTGTCTGTTGGAGCGCCAACACTCAAACTACACTCTTTAACTTAAACACTGGTTTAGTAGCTACTGAATAAATCATAGAGGACACTGAATAATTTATAGCAGATACTAAATAATTCATAGTGGATACTGAATATTTCATAGCAGATACTGAATAATTCATAGCAGATACTGAATAATTCATAGTGGATACTGAATAATTCATAGCAGATACTGAATAATTCATAGTGGATACTGAATAATTCATAGCAGATACTGAATAATTCATAGCAGATACTGAATAATTCATAGTGGACACTGAACAATTCATAGTGGATACTGAATAATTCATAGTGGATACTAAATAATTCATAATACATACTGAGTAATTCATAGTGGATAATAAATAATTCATAGTGGATACTGAATAATTAATAGTAGATACTGAATAATTCATGAATGAACAGTTTTTAAAATATTTAATCAATGTAATTAATTCCCACTTGCTTTTTGCACACATTATTATTGCTGGCTCCACCCCTGATTGTTTATTTGGAAAATATTGTGAATTTTAATTTTGCAATAGCGTCCAGTACTGTGTCTTAAGATTAATAAGCGTGTAGTTTATGAGAATATATAGTTTACAGTTATAGTTTATATAGTGGTCATTGTCTAAGTTAAAGTCTGACTGATATCTGATCCTGAAGAAAAGCGTCTGCATGACAGATATTAAATAAACTGTTATATAAATATTTATACACAGTGAAGGGCAGAGACTTTACAGGCTGTAAGATGTGTTTAATTTAGTGAAGCTGTAAAAAAGGGGCCATGAAAAGCCCCTCAACCTGACCTGAGGACAAAAACAGTGAAAACTGATATGAGTGAGAGAGAGAGAGAGAGAGAGAGAGAGAGAGAGAGAGAGAGAGCAAGATAAACAAACACATATAGAGAAGATACAGAGACAGAAAGCATAGAAAGAAAAAGAAAGGGGGAGAGAGAGAGAAGATGGGGTAGAATAGAAAAAGAGAGAGAGAGAGAGAGAGAGAGAGAGAGAGCAAGATAAAGACAGAGAAAAAGTAAGTAGTGAGTGGAACGTAGAGAAAAAGAAAGGGGAAAAAAGAAGATAGAGAGAGCAGAGATGAATAGAGAAAGAGAGGAGAGAGAGCAGAGTAAGAGCAAGAGAGAGAGACAGAAGAGGGAGTAGAGAGAGAGAAAGTGAGATAGACAGAAGGGAGAGTAGAAATAGAGAGAGAGCAGAGTGAGAGTGAGAGATAGACAGAAGGGAGAACAGAAAGAGAGAAGGGAGAGTAAAGAAAGAAATAGAAAGGAGAGAGAAAGAGAAAGAGAGAAGATAGAAAGTAGAGACAGAGCAGAAAGAACAGAGAAAGAGAGAGGAATGGAGAGCAAGAGAGAGAGAGAGAAGAGGGAGTAGAGAGAGAAAGAGACTTGACTTGACTTTTGATGGTCCTTTATTGAACCAGCATTTTTTTTAAAACAGTCATCCGTCACAAAGTGTCATCTTAGGCTATATTGAAATAAATTAATTGATTAAATAAAAATAAGACAAACACTTTATAAATAGATAAAAACAGGAAAACAAATAAAACCCAGTCCGGCTCATCTGAGCTCAGGAGCGAAGCAGAGCTCATCCTCGCATACTGAGCACACGGCCCCACCACAGCACCACATCGCCTCAAAGGCCTCCACATCACACATGCTTTTATAATAATTAAAATCAATTAAAATCCTTGATCTGACCAGCCTAGAGAGAATCCTTGTGGCCTCACAGTCAGTACCATGCGCCACCTTGTTCTTACGACTGATATATATCGCCATTTTCGCCGTCCCAAGAATGAAGTTGATCAGTTGGCATTTGGATTTCTCTCTTCTGACGTACTTAAAACCAAGGATAAAAGTCTGGAGTGTAAAAGTCACATTAAGAGACCTAAAAACATTCTTTAAAACTTCAAACAAAGAGCAAAGCCTAAAACAGTGCATAAAAGCATGAAACACAGTTTCTCTCTGGGGACAAAAAGGACACTGTGGTAAAATCTCAGGATTTAAAACAGAAATAAAAGCGTTGACTGAGACAATACCATGTAAAATCCTCCACTGCAGGTCAGCTACTTTTTTAGTCAATGGTGGTTTATACAGTGCTCTCCACTCCGGCTTCACATCATCACTCAGATTAAAAACATCACGCCATGGTGTGTCGGTTCTACTGTGCAGTCTTTTCTTATTCAGTACCTTCACACAGGCTCTGTACAGCAGCTTACCAGACACTGTCCCCAAGTTCATTCTGGACTCCCCCTCACACTCCAGAAGGGGGCCTTCACAGTCCTGTAGGTCCGGCGTGATAGTGATGTCCGGGAATGGGTCATGCTCCGTAGGACTGACCACCCCTGCACTGTAGGCCCTCACCTGCTCGCGTTCCTCAGGAGAGAGAGCTGTCCTCCAGCCCTCGAGCAGCTGAGCCACAACTCGCAGAGATCTCATCCCCAGCCTCGCAGCCACGTCCTCCACCCGAGTGAGATCTGGTCCGGCGACGTCCACCAGCCGGCGT